CCCTTATGTCCCAACTTGTGAACCAGGGACTCGTAGGTGGTCCCAGATAGGAAAGCTCCTATGACGTCGGTGTCGGTGATGTTGGGCAGCTCGTTGCACTATCGGGAGAAGCGCCGGATATACCCACGACGAATTTCCCTGGACTTTTGTCTGCAATTTTTGAGATCCCATGGGTTCCCAGGACACACGTATGTGCCCTAGAAGTTTCCCATAAAGATCTCTTTTAGGTCCGCCCAACTTTGGATTTGGTTGGGCGGCAGGTGTTCCAACCACGCTCGTGTCGAATCGGCTAGGAACAATGGAAGGTTGCGGATAATGAAATAATCACTATCCACTCCACTGGCTTGGCAAGCAAGCCACTAATCCTCAAACCATAGTCCAGGATTTCTTTCCCCGAAGTATTTCAGGATGTTGGCCGGCGATCTGTACTACGGTGGAAAGACGGCGTTGAGGATGTGTCGGCCAAAGGCCTGAGGCCCTAGCAAGTCAGGGCTTGGGCTTCGATCTTCGCCGCTGTCATAGCGTCCGTCACGATGAGGGTAGTAGCCGCGGTTAGCCTCCTCCCTCTCATCGCTGCGGGTACGCCGACGGGCATCCAGGGTGTCGAGCGCGTCATGGTGGAGGCCAAGACGCTCATGCACCGGGACCGCGGTTCACGGCCCATCGCCTTATTGTGCCTGGTGGACTGATATGTCCCTATCGAGGCGCTCTAAGGGCGTGCGCTGGCTGACGTCGAGCTCGCATCATCGGGACAGCGAGCTCTCGGCTTGCTGTGCCGCCGCACGCTCGAGTAGCGTGTGAATCTCATGATGGGCCTAAGGATCCTCGGGTGTCACGGGCTCCGGAAGCCCCCGGAGTAAGGCCACTGCGGCAGCGACGTTCTGGCTTGCCCGAGTGAAGTGTGGAAGGGCTTCGTTGTCCTTGATGATCCTCCGGTTCACGTCGTGGGCCACAGCACGCGCACGCCACCGTCTCCATGGCGCTCGATCTCTCGCTTGAGCTCCGCGCGTTCCTGCTCGAGCTAGAGTCATGCTTCTTCGAGCTCTTGGTGCCACGCCCTTAGCTGCTCTACCCGCAGGCAAGGCGGGGCCTCTGCATCCCCCTCGACCTCATCATCGAGGTCGTCTGTTGGGGTACCCCTCCATCAGGGATGCTTTCGACGTATCCATCGGGGGTACCTACCATGAAACATTCTCGCGAGCGGTGATGGCTCCCCGTGCTGGAGTCAGAGTTGGAGGGCGACTTTGATTCTCCTAGGAGGAGGTCGTGGTAAGATTCTGCGACGTATTCGGTCATCCCCATGAACTTGTCGTTCATAGGGGATGGGGCATGCACTGCGCCACAAGGTGGCCAACGCTCTCTGCGATGTTGCACAGACTGAACGAGAGCACTGTCGGGGCGCTCCGGATGAGGCATTCTAGGGAGAGCGGCTCTCCTTCGACAAGTTGCATGATGACGTTGGCGAACGAAAAGTTGAGGCGGCGCAGGTCCTCCTAGGACGGTCGGGGTCCCAGGAAGGCGCCGAGCTGGTGCTCTAGCCTCCTATAATCAAAGCCGAGGAGCTAGTTGCTCCCGAGGGCGCAGGCCTCCGGTGCGTGCAGCTACAACTCCTCAAGCGCCTCAGCGATCGCATCAAGGCCGGCGGAGTGGAGTGGCTGGACGAAGGCAGGAACCTGCGCCAACTATCCTAGCGATCGCGTCCCTACGTCCAGTTCGCTGCTGCTCGTGTTACTGGCACTTGGTTTGCAGTAGGGGTTACAAATAAGTGAGAGAGGAAAAGGATCCCAAGTCTCTGGTGGAAGGAGTGAACGAGTGCTAAGAGCTCGATTGTCGCTCAGCTGTGTGCTCGTGTCATGCTCTTGTATTTTTATCTCGTGGTCCGGCCCCTTTCATGGGGCACCCTGCTTCCTCTTTTATAGGCAAAGGGAAAGCGCGGGTTACAGCTGAGGAAAAGGAGAAGAACAAGAGAGAGAGGAGAAGGCTTCTAGGATTGCCGGGTCCTTCTTCTCCTTCATACGGGTCCCGTCGATCCTGTAGATGTCAACAGGGATGGCTCCACGATGTGGCCCTGTTCGTCACTGGCACCATGCACAGGCGTCATCTGTCGGTCATGGTATTCCACTCTGTCCCGGCGGACGTCGTGGTGAACTGACGCGCCTGTCAGCGTCCGTACGAGGATTAAGCAGAGCAGTACCGGCACGCCCAACATTGTTCTTGATGTGAATCGCCAGGTATGACCTGTCATAGCCATGGGTTACATCGAGGCGTGACAGCCTCTTTCCTGGTGTCAGAGTTTTAATCCAAGCCCATACGCTTGGACCTAGAGTGGTTGGCGACGGTATGGGTCCCCGTCGGACGAGACGGAACCCACGTACTTAGGGTCGGGTGAGACGGAGCACGAACCCAAGGGGTCGGGCGAGACGGAGCCCGCACCCGAGGGGTCGGGCGAGACGGAGCACGAACCCAAGGGGTCGGGCGAGACAAAGCCCGCGACCTTGGGGTTGGGCGAGACGGAGCCCGCACCCGAGGGTCGGGCGAGACGGAACCCATGACCTTGGGCGAGACGGAGCCCGCGGCCTTGGGGTCGCTCGAGACCTTTTAATACGTCTCGAGCCATCCGGGGGAGTCAGCGTGGACACTAACCTCCTTGCTTTAGGTATCCCTAATAACGATACCCGACACACAGCTAGAGGACGACGCATCGGCCACCGACCTGCGCAAAGAGATGGAGGAGGAAAAGGACAGATTAGAATAGATCAATCATCAATGGAAGAAGATGAGGGTTAGGGTTAGGGTTGTACCTGTGCAACCGAAGCCCGGTGCAGGAGAAGACGAGGGCCACCCAGAGAAGACGACACACCGATTAGAAGGACGGTGAGCGGCGGAGGAGGGATAGACGGGGAGTCAGGGACACGAACTCACATTATCACCGAGATCAAGAGGGGAGATAAGGAGAGGGAGAAGGGAGAGGCGGAGAGGGAGGGGATCAGGTAGGAGGAGACGAGGAGTAGGGAACGGCTCGCCAGCGAATCGAGGTCACCGAAGTCAGGGAGGTCGGACGCCACCAGTAGACGACACGGCGAGGCGGGAGCAGCGCGGCGGGGGAGTGGAAATGATTTAGGGTTCGGGATGAGGGAGAGGGCGCCGCGTCTGCGCGCTTATATATGAGGGGGGAGACGGGGGGAGCCGTTGGGGCTGGGCCGGCTGGCAGGCCGCGCGGGACTGGGGGTGGGGGGATGCCGGGCCGCTATCGGGCCGACCCTTGTAGGCCGGGCCGGGCCGTGCCAGCCCACGGGCTTGAGTGGCGGCCCAGGCACGGCCTGTACCCCCGGGCTGGGCCGGACCGGGCCCGCTGACCATCGGGCCGTGCCGAGCCTCAGGCTACATGAACATTTATAACATAACGTGTTCCATTGCTCCCAAACATTGTCACAGGTGGTACTTATAAAAGCGTTGAGGAATCCACTTACAATCTGCAGCTTTATGGTCTTGCCCTCCATCTCGATCGTGCGGATTTTCTGCACAAGCAGAACCAGAAAAATGGGATAGTCAGTAGATCAAAGAACACCCCAAATGCGCTGAAGTTCAGGTGGGAGAAAAAACACCAAGAATGCATGCAACATTCCAAGAGGAACCAACTCACAAAGTCAACACCAATCGTGCTGATGTAGCTGTCCACATAGGAGTCGTCCTAGATGAACACAAAGGGGAGAGAAAAAGGGGTGAGTGACCACAGAACCGTATGATCTACGGAGTACTAGTCTGCAGCAAATGGTGGGCATCAGTCGGCACTGCCTGGCTCACAGCGAAACGGAGGAGGAAGCAGGACTTGCCCACCGAGGAATCGCCGATCAAGAGAAGCTTGAACAGGTAATCGCTATCGAAGGACAAGCAAACAGGACCAAAACTTTGGTACACTGAAGAGAGGGAAAATAAGAGAGGAAAGAAGAAAGGGGGACAAACTTACAATTCGTTGCTCATTGCTCTTCCAACCTTCGATTCCAAGAACAATGCGGAGAGAAGAGGACTAGAGGAGTGAAGAATGGAGATGCTTCTGCTAGGGGAAGGTGAGGACTCGTGAGAGAAGATGCAAAAACCTCCGGGAAGTCGCCTCTCTCACGCACCTCGAGAAACTGCAGCCTACAGTAACTAACATGTGCTAATGATGGCTTAATTAGACTTAATAAATTCATCTCGTAGTTTTCAGACGAGCTATATAATTAGTTTTTTTATTAGTACTCAGAAACCTCTTCCGACGTTCTCGAAACATGATATTCAAAAATTTTCATTTCGCGAAACGCACCCTAAACTAGCAACCGATCCGGTGATGCATTTTGTTTTTATCGAACTCCGCAGCGTCGTGACGTGGACTGCTCCCTTCTCTCTCAGGTTTTTTTTTATGAGATTACAGGGATTCACGGGCGCGCCGCACCGGCCGCTCGCGGCACGTGCAGATGCCCCTGGCCTGACAGAGACTCACGATCTTGTTGCGTAGTGTAGCTTTCTGCTCCCCAAAGTACTAGTGCGAACAACGTTGCTTTGGGGGCTTTTAGGGGGTGTTTGATACCCTCTTAAATTTTTAGTCGTTGAAATATTAAATATAGACTAATTACGAAACTAATTGTATATTTTGCGATTAATTTACGAGACGAATCTTTTAAGCCTAATCAACTTATGATTTGACGATGCTTTGCTACAGTAATCATATGCTAATGACAGATTAATTAGGCTTAAAAAATTCATCTCGTGGAGTACCGACGGATTATGTAATTTATTTTTTTATTAGTATCCGAATATCCCATACAACATCATTGCGACGTACCTCCTAAATTTTAGTCACAGGATCCAAACACCCCCTTAGCTAGGAAAGAAATGTAGTGTCACATGAGGAACACAAGTGCAGCAACATAAGTATATGTACAAACCACGTCTGATAAAATTGTACCAGTACAAATGTAAGGTCACATAAAACATACAGTTAATTTGTGGGCGTATGCTTTCTACTGGCTACTAATTGAGTACTGCTGGAATAAGTAAGCTAGTATCTTCTTATGGTCACTCGACTGGAATCCAGTGTTAGGGTCAATCAGATATGGCACCTGCAACACCATGATTATTCGTGAGTTAGAAGTTACCCTTGCCTGACCCTTTTTCTGTTGGAGAGGTAAAGTTATCAAGAATAGATGCAGTTAAACAGGTACATATGCACCGGTAACTAGAAAAAAATCTGATACAGGTAGATAATGTTCCCCGTAAAGAAAATAAAAGGAAGAGAAAATTGCCTTGCTAAGTTAGATAATGCACCGGTAACTAGAGAAAATCTGATACCAAAGACAATTTGCTGGTATAACCAAATAATAGCCACGAGCTGATATACCTAAGAAAGCATATCTATAATAATAGAGTTAGACAGACAACATTTCTGAGTATCAGCCATTCAGATCCTATCATGAAAATGGTCAGTTGCTACTTCTCATGCTGCGCCATATGCCTAGCATAATTACCTGCTTAGACCCCGACTTCCTTAGAAGCAATTCCGTCTTTGATGATCCCTCTCCAACGTTCTGGAGAACATAAGGAAGCTCTAATTCACACAGAGCCTCTCGAACTATCCTGGCATACTGAATCCATAACGTTCGAAGGGAGAGGGCACCACCATCAGAGACAGAAAATACAACTAACTCTTGTAACATGACAACAATGAGAGCAGCAATTTCTCACAGAATTATTCTCATACGAGAAGAGCTCCAACTTCTCTGCAGGTACAGCATCAGCTTTGTTCCACAGTGTCATTCCTCTTCCAGCTCTAAGAAGAGTGGGCACCCATCCTGTGAAAATTGTACTGAAGAGATGGAGAGGGAGGGCTTGAGAATCGCACACATTGAAAAGAAATTTGTCCAGACCCGTTATAGAAAGTATTTTCATTTTACTCATCCCAGTAAGGCCTGTATCATACTTCCTTGGAAAATAATTTCAACGTCATCAAGTATGAAGCATATCACCACAGTTACATAAGTAGGTAACATAAGCTTCTCAAAACAAGCAAAGCTGGATACCTCTCAAGAAGTCCAGGAGAAGGGCTCTTTCCTTGTCCATAATTCCTGAACAGGTACTTCACAATATCTCCTGCACATCCAAGAGCATATTAGCATCCAAATTTATTAGGCCGTTAGAGTAGTGAACTTGCACCGAACTATACAGAGTTACAGACAAGAACTAAATCTTTTTTTATGACTAGAAAAGAACTAAGGGCCCGTTTGGATCCATTAGCACTAAAAACTAGCTAGCTAATAGCTACTAGTTACTAGTTTTTAGCTAGCTAATTTTTAGCAGGAGGTTGTTTGGATCCACCTGCTAATAGGTAGTTGGATAGTGAGTTGAAGAATGAAGATGTATATGAACTATTAGCATATATTAGCAACTTCAAACCTGCTAATGGAACTAATAGTTAGCAGCCCTCTAGCTAATAATTAGCAGGTCTGTTTGATCCACTAGTACTAATTTTAGCTGCTAATTTAGTGCTAATGGATCCAAACAAACCCTAAATCTGGAAGTGTTCGGCTGAGCAAGTTCGGCTTGTTTTTTCTAGCCGGGGCAGTGTTTTTCAACATGAACAGTGTTTTCAGCCAAATTTCATCCCAGCCGAACACTCTCCTGAATCTTATCTTATAGCTATTAAACACACTATCTTTCTGACCGCAGACCAAAAAGTTTCAGAGACTCCGAGTCATGGAATTGTAGCGGATAGCAAACTAGAACAGCATGAACAAAGTGTGCTTGGATTCCCATCAAACCAAAAGAACTAATTGGAACTTACCACTTTCATACATTGAGATACCAGTACTAGTGTCAACAAGCAGTGGAAACCTGCGTACAGATACTACAGTTCAGAGACAGTAAGCAGTGTATCAGAAGATTTATGTTTATGACTCTGTGAAGTAATGCCAACAATGTTTAATGAACAAACACAGAATTCAGAAACTTTCCTAGATATATTCACTTGAAGCATTACCACATCTATTAGTAAATAGTAATATTTAGTAGGCGAAGACATACTGCTCCTTCCCTCCAATTTTCTTGACCACATCTCTGTGCCTTAGTGACCCTTTTGGACAAGGATAAACCTGAAACATTAGGAACAAAAATTGGTGCCATTGAGAAGACAGCATCAGAATTTTACATCAATAGCCAGCACTAACTATAATGCAAGTAGAGCCGGTGCAGTTAAAATGGTTGCATGGTTTTCCTAAGTACTAGTAATTCACAGTATCATGCTTCAATTGCAGAACTGAAGGAGCATTGTTAGACAAGGTTCAGCACCTCTGCAGAAAGATCAAGCTCAGTCATGGCCTCTCCAGACCCTCTCCTACAGAAGGGACATGCCTCTTTGGAACAATAACAAGGGATTCAATCAGTACATTGCAGAAACCAGAAGTACCAGCCTCCAACCATAGGTAACAGAATTTATCGTTTTACCAAACTCATACAATTGAAGAGTTGGAGTGCCTATTGCCAAATCTATGTTCTCCCCGCTGCTAGTAGCCACTTTTGATCCCCATGGCAGTCTAGCTAAACTTGAAATCGAAGATGTCGTGACCTGGGGAACAAAAAGCAACCAAAAAGAAAGATTACACTAATATGACCCAGAGTAAACATGAAATGAAAACTAATGAATACGATGTCAGAAGTAGCAAATACATGGGACTGGTCAGAGGTTCCCTTTTGTGAATTTATTACGCAGTGTACTTAGGGGGTGTTCGGATCCGATGACTAAAATTTAGGAAGTGTCATGTGAGCGTGTCGCATAGGATGTTCGGATACTAATAAAAAAACAAATTACATAATCCATCAGTACTCCACGAGACGAATTTATTAAGCCTAGTTAATTTGTCATTAGCACATGTTTACTGTAGCACTACATTGCCAAATCGTGAACTAATTAGGCTTAAAAGATTTGTCTCGTAAATTAGTCACAAGTTGTGCAATTAGTTTCATAATTAGTCTATATTTAATACTTCATGCATGTGTCCAAATTCGATGGAACAACGACTAAAGTTTAGGAGGAGAAATCAAGCACCCCTTAATCTAGCCATCTGATTCAGTGAATTCTAATCCAAGTTAGTATTAGTTCAGGGTTCGTAATTGCTCAGCTACGAGATTTACCTACTTCCACAACGTCGTTCCGTTGCCGCGAAGGATCGCCTCCCTGCTCACAAACTCACACAAAGCAAAAAAAAAAAAAAAAACCAGTTTTGGCGATGCCCAGCCGAGGGTCTTCAAGAGTTTGCTATCTCAACTTGTCATCTATATAATTTTGGCAAAACAAGAAAAAATAGCCTCCAATAATTTGGCAAAACAACTTGGCATCAATAGCAACTTGGCAAATCTTCCCTCCGCGCGCGCAAATATACGCGCGCGTATACGGCTTGGCATCCGGGGCTCTTCGTTTCTTAGCGGGGCTCTTCGTTCGCTTAGCGGGGCTCTTCGTTTTGTTAACGGGTTTTTTTATTTTACCAAGTCAAAAATACCAAACCCTTGAAAATAGATTATTTTTTTACTTAGCATATAATTTTAGGAGTTGGCAAATCACAAGATTTACGAAGTAAAATTTGACTTAACTCTCGGAGCCAAGCCCGAAGTTGGGCAACCGATAAATCCGGACGCTAGTTACCCCGAGGAGTTTGAGGAGCGGACACAGGAACGACAAGACGCTGCCCGAAGTTGGGCAACCGATAAATCCGGACGCTAACAAGAAGCTGCATTTGGCCTACGTATCGATCAGGCCCGCATCCCGCGCACGCGCAGCCGACCAGGCAGAACGTGGCATGCATGAAATCCAAAATTGCTGATAGCACATATCCCATGCTTTTGAGGTAAAAAAGTCGTAGCTCCTAAACCAAGCATTCTAATTAAAATCCAATTGCACTATCATGTTTCTTGCAATAAAATACTTAAAACAAGACCCACATGGATACATTTCGATAAACTTTTTTTACGAACATTTATCTCATGATGATAAAACAATTTTTTATTGAGTACAACAATGTTCTAGGTCCATGATAAAATGTTTCATCTTTATAAAACAAATGTTCCATCTTCGTAAAACAAATGTTCTAAGTTAGCAGGAACAATACTTCAAATTTAGGATTAAAAAATCTAGATTCGTATGAATGACATTATAATATCTATGAAAAATAGAAAAAAAATGAATGATGAAATCTATGAAATTTAGAAATAGATAAATAACATAACATAACAAAAATAGGAAAAATAATAAAAGATAGAATAAGATATAAGGGAAATACAAAAATAATAGAAAGGAAAAAATCCACATAAAAAAGAGAAAAACAAAGAGAACAGCACGTCGATACTACTTGAACATTATAAAATATATCATAAAACATCTCACGGGTATTATGTGAGTATTTAAAGATAATCGTCGAACATCACATTTATGCTATGTGAACATCTCAAAATACACCAGAGAACATCACATGTAGACTATGTGAACATTACATGTATAATACATGGACATCATAAAATACATCGTAGAACATACACGTATAATATATGAACATCACATGTATACTACATGAACATCACAATAATACATTATAGAACACCACGTGTATACTACTTGAACATCACAAAAATACATCATAGAACATCACATGTATACCACGTAAACATCACAAAATATATCATAGGAAATCACATATATAGTACATGAACATTGTAAAATACATCATAGAACATCACTTATAATGAAAAATAATATCATTAAATATATCAAAAACAATATAAATAATTTATAATATACCTCATAAATAGTATGAGAGTAGTCTTATTATGCAATAGAAGAAATCATTTAAGTGAATATTACCACAAGATCATAACACTATTGTTCAGCCTTCATAACACAAATGGGAAAAAAGAGTTATGCCTTCATAACACAAATGTTCCAAGTTCAGATGAACAATAGTTCAGATTTAGGAAAAAATTCTAGGTTCATATGAATGGTATTGTAATATCCATGGAAATAGAAAATAATGAGTAATAAAAACTAGGAAATATATAGAAAAGGATAAGTACATAAATGAAAACAAATAACATAATTAGAAAAAATAATAATGAAAGATGATAGAATAAAGCATAATAGAAAACAAAAAATAAAAGCCATGTAATAAAGAAAAATTAAAAAGAGCATCACATGAATATTATTTAAACAACCTATAAGTTATGAAATATTCCATTTGTACTACAAGAAAATCGTATATAGAAAACAAAAAAGTAAAACATCAAAATAAAAAGATAATTAGAGTAAAGCTAAAAGATAAAAATAACAAAATAAATGAAATGAAAATAATAAAATGTACATAATACATAAAAGGAAAGATAAAAAGAAAAAATAAATAGAAGAAAAGAAAGAAAACACGTAATAAAAAATAAAAAACTAACATACGTACCTGAAGAAGAAGAAAGGAAAGAGAAGAAAAAAATAATAAAAAAAGAAATACAAAAGAAAAGAATAAGGAAAAAAGAAATAAGAATAAGAAAAACAAAAGAAGAGTAAAAATAGAAAGAGAAAAAGGTTAATTATCTGCGCTTCACGTGGGAGGAACGTGCGGGAGCACGTGTTACGTCCGTGTCGCCGCTCCTCAGGCAGAGAAAAAACATTATGCGGGAGAAAAACATTACAGGCTGAAAACGAATTGGGCCGTCGGATTAAAGAAACTAGCAAAAGAAGCCTGCTCGGGAGCGGGGTCGGCACAGTGCTGGACACGGAGAGGACAATATTTCTTCCGCGTCAACTCCACCAGCATCTGAACCTTGTGTCCGTTCCGTGCCCAACCAAACTTTTACCGACCTGACACAAACAACACACTCTGCCATCGAGGCTCCTTCAATCTCGTCAGTCGCGCTCAGACTAAACCCTCCTCCAAGGTCCAGTTTAGTTTGCAAAAAATTTTACAAAATTTTTTACATTCCCCGTCACATCGAATCTTTAGACGCATGCATCGAATCTTTAGACGCATGCATGAAGCATTAAATATAAATAAAAAATAAAACTAATTACACAGTTTAGACGAAATCCACGAGACGAATCTTTTAAACCTAATTAGACTATGATTGGACACTATTTACCAAATAACAACGAAAACGCTACGGTACTCATTTTACAAAATTTTTTGCATCTAAACAAGCCCCAAATCAGAATCATCGACATCTGGCCAAATCGACGGGTCGACCGTGCTGTTTATGTATGCGTACATACTCCCTCCCAAAAATATTGCAATCCTACCATTTAAATTTTGTCCAACAAAAAATACACACATACAAAGTATAGGTACCATGTCAGCTAGTGGGACCCACCCTGAGCAAAACCAATCGTCCACTCGTCTTCTGTACTAGCTGCTGCATGCAGGTAAAAAAAATCGGATGCAGCCTCTCGTCCACTCATTCTTGTATTCCAGAACACTCCCGTACAAGCTCCTTCTGTCAGCGAGCTGTATCTCTGTCTGTTGGGATTGAACTGTATAGGGATATTATCGTAATTCGGCATCGTTTCTTGGTATGCATGCTCGACCCTAGAATTGCAGTTTTTATGAGACGGAGGGAGTAAGTGCCAAATAAAATTGTTCATGTTTGATTAAACTTTTAGTGAATAATATTTATATTTATGACTCTAAATTAATTTATTATAAAAATATATTTTATATTTGATCTAGTGATATTTACTTGATGTTATAAATATTTATAGTTTTTTATCTATAATTGTTCAAACATGAGATAATAAAATATAGTACTGTGCTTTTTTTTTACGGAGGGAGTACTGCTCACTGGGATCGATCTCTTGGCTGGGCCACTTCTGATGCATGCATGGCGATTGTTGGCAAATCATAAACATACAGTATAGGAGTAACACAGTTTAAAGGTAAAGGAGGCCCGCAGCGTCCAAAAGGCCATCGTCACCGTCACCATGCGTTGCACTCTTCACTTTTTTTCTTAATATGTAAAAGATTTAAGTATTATTGTAATTAAAAAGAAGAAGGGTTTAACTATACACACGATACGCTTCTAATGAGCGTCCTAAGAGGTCTTACAGTTATGACTGTACCTTCCTAGCAGACTGTTTTAAACTTCAATATTACATAAAAGTAAACAACCGAACTAAGGGCAGCGCAGTAACCTACGGAGCTGGGCGTCTCCGCTACTGGCCGCGCGACTCTGCTCCGTCATCCGAGAAGAGTCTTCTACCAGTCGTAGCATTGGTCGCCGTGAACAGCATGTCCAATGCTTCCACTTCGCTCGACGTCAAGTTCCTTGCGAAAAAGTCGTCGTAAGCT